ACACTGGGCATCGCATCGCCAGTGGGGCTGGGACTAGCACAAAGATACTCGCACAGTGGCAGTGGCTCTCTCCTCTGCTGACCGTCCATTTGTCTTCACGTAATTATCTTTTAATAGATTTAACGAACATTTTTCGCACCGACTCTTTGCTTGTGTGTCAACCCAGTGACAACAGCAACAACAACAGGAACAACAGCAACCAACCATAACAACAGCCACATCAACAAATAGCAATGAATGGAAGCAGAAAAGGTTTTCCTTGCAAAATCCAACTGAACTTTAGATACACTGAAGAACCATATAATATATAATATAATTAACTAAGAGATTGAAGCTGCACAGACTGCAAAGCTGACTTATTGTACAAGTATTTTCAACGATTGCTGTCTCAGGAAATACAATAAATAATAACATTCGAGTGATCTTTCGAGTGCAAGCACACATTTGCCACGAGTATTTGTAATTGTTGGCTAATGAAATAAGAGTAAACAGGCAAACAGGTAGGACAAACCGATTCAATGACTATGCCCACTTGTTGTAAAAGGGTATGGCAAACAGAGGCAGGCCAGAGTCCACACAGTAGTCCGAACCAGAGCACCAGTCAGGGCCAGAGCAGTGCAGTGCAGTGCAGGACAGACACGGACCCAGAGCCAGAGCCAGAGCCAGAGCCAGTACCAGTCAAAGCCAAGCGGAAGTCGGAAGTTGTATGGCAGATGCGGTGGTCGCGGCGGTTGCGATGGCGACGCTGGGTAATGGTGATGCCAATGACTGTGGGTGGCATGGAGGAGGACTGTGGATAGAGGTGGCAGAGGTGATGGTGAATGGTGGAATCTACGGCTATGCTGATGGCAGTGTTGGCATCGTTCGACCATTTTCATTTTATGGACTTTCAAACTGTTGCTGTTAATTATTTCTTCTTCTGTTAATGTGGCCGCTGGTGTCTGGCCGCAGTTCTTACTTATTCGATCGCCCAGCATCTGCCACCCAGATAGGACGCTCTTCCTGAAGCTGGTGCTGGCTTGGGACTCACTCCTCTTCCTGCTCCTGTTCCTCCGATAATGGCCATGCTGTTGATGATGATGATGTTGTTCTGGATATTATGCACAGCTCCGCTCCACTCCGCACCGCTGCACTCCACTCTTGAGCTTCCTCTTCGGGCACTTCCTCTTGGCATTTCTCGCCGTTGTTTGCACTTTTTCGCCATTTTACACTTTATTACAAAGGCATTAAATAAAATTCAAAGCGAATGAGCCTCGTCAAAAGTGTTCGACGAGGGGGCTTGGCATTTTTGATTCCCATTTGGTTGCATGGTTGCTGCTTTTGGGGGTATGGCTCGGCTGGGTGGATGCTTCAATGAAGTGGTGCAGGCATCCCCATCCACAGCACCGCGTAGTTCTCATTGTTGCTGCTGCTGCTGCTGCTGCTATTGCAATTCTGTTGCTGTTGCTGTTGCATTGCCAACAGGCGCTGTAGCTGCTGGCTCTGCGGCCGCTGTTATTGTTGTGGTTCATACTTTTGTTTTTCAGTCCATTGTTAACCCCCCAAAAAGTTTATGTTGTAGTTGTTGCTGTAGCAGCAGCAGGCTGGGCACCGCACGCAAACAAGCGCCAAAAGTAAAAGAAGTACCAGAAGTGGCAAAAACGAGTCGAGTTGAACAGTGGCATGAAAACGATTAGCAAGTGGAATTGGGGGAGAAGAAAAATAATATATTTTAATTGCATATTTTATTCAACCTTTCATTTCCCTTTCTCTCAAAAATTACCTACGAAAGAGCAACTGCTCTACTTTCGCACCACATGCTCTCTGGCACACGTGAATTTCATGCACTTTTCGCGCTACCTTGACCCACTGTGCCGCGCTGTTTCAATTAGCTGCGCTTCGATGTGCATTGACGATGGAGTTTCGGTGTCGACAACGGGCCACGGCAATGGCGGGTGCACGGGCCAAAGAGGAGCAGTATCTGTGGCTGATACTTAAACAATGTATAAATTCGTCTACAAAGTCTCTGTCCCTGCCCCCAGTCCTCCCTGCCCACCATCAAAGCTTCATTCAGTGCGTATTTGTGGATGAAGGGGAGCGCTTTTGGTGCTGGAGCTCTCTGTCTACCGTCATTCTGGGCTGACGACTGGACTGGAATGACTGACTGACTCCGCGTTGGCGTTGGCTTGGCAGCAGCGGAGGCGGTGGCGGTGGCGGAGGCGGCATCGCCGGTGGCAGGCTACTGTGGTCGCCAACGTGGTGCAATCAGCTGCAGTGGCTTTTTGGCCGACATTGCCAGTAGTTAGCCATATATTCCATGAGCCCCTTGTGGGTGGAGGGGGGGGGAGGGGTAGAAGAGTCATGGTGTTGTCAGGGGGGAGGGAGGGATCGAGTCAGTCAGTCGGTTGGCTGGAGCTTGGCAAGCTGCCCAACTAACTAAGTGTCTCTTTTACCGCACTGCTTCTCTCTCTCTCTCTCTCTCTCTCTCTGTCTGTTACTCTACCCTCTGTCTCTTACCTCTCTTATCCGCTGCTCTCCCATTTCATTGCATTGCGTTGCTTTCGTCATTCATTCGATTGAGTGAGCGCCGAGCCAAGCGCAAGCAGTGTAAAAGCTTCTCAATTGGTGTGAAATGCAACACGCTGCAATACTGACGGGGGTTAAGGGGTGGGTGGGTGCTGGGTGCCAGGTAGCCAGTGCCACTCTGCTCGGTTTGCAATTGTAAATATGCCAAATATGGCAAATATGGGTTAATTGTGCGAGACTTTGACTTGCACACAATTATTTAATTTTACATTTTCGCATCGAATTTACTGAGACGGCATTCTCTCACCTCCTGTCTGTCTCTCTCGCCCTCTCTCTCTCTCTCTCTCTCTTTATCTTTTGTTTGCTCCATGGATGTCCCTTTATATTTCGGGTGTAGTGGCAGGGCTTTTCATTGTTTTTCTTGCTCCCATTGTGCTATGGCAGGACAATTGTTGTTTGTTTTTCCCTGCCAGTTACTGGCAAACAGTCCGCATCGCAAATATAAAGCTCTGTGTAATTCGCATTTAATTAGGCTTCGTGAAGAGCTTAAAATAATAGAGTATTTGTTAAAAATAACAACGCTTGAATGTGCTTTAGGGATTTGTAAGAGATTTGTTTGAAATTTGTACAGGGAATGCTGCCAATCTGGCCAGGAATGGAAAAAAATAAGTTATGGAATAACATAATAATTTGTAATTAATAATAAAAATAATAAAAAAGTAAATAAATTAAAGGAATTTATCGATTAAAGGTTCATTTTTTGCCGAGTTCCGAGTAAATGATGTACTAATATTCTGGATCTATTATGGAATATATTTGTTGCCCAGAATTCACAAATTGATGCACTATTAAATAGCTAACGGATTATGTAAATTAGCACTTGAGTGTTAGCGTTAATCATCAAAATGGCTAAAAGCCATTAATTCTCGATGATTGACTCAATTAAATTATCGCATAGAACACATTTCGGCCCCAAATAAGGTTAGAGCATCAAATTGAGTAATTTATTGCCCATATGGCAGATCGTTATTCGCATTTCGCATTAAGTACGAGTATTTGTTTTGTAAGAAAAGTCATAAAATTGATTTCATGATAATAATGATATTGATGATAAATCATCTTTAACGAAATTGAGTCATAAAAATACTTATTGCAACGATTATCACCTATTTACTTTGACTGCTGTCTTACACTGATGAAACGCAGTGCACCCATCATCTGTTCTCTTTCTTGCTGCTGCTGCTGGGGCCTGCTTTTGTTTTCCGAGATATTTATCCCGCTGCGGAACAATGCCCGACGAGCTTTGATTACTTTGTCATTTGCGTTTGGGCCTGGAACGGTGTGTCTGGGGTCCCGAGATGTCTGTCTGGGCCGCAGATAATCGAGAACTTAATTCATTTAGCTGCAGTCTTTGTTGTTTGCGAATTTTCTGTAATTATCACTATTAGTGTGTTCGAGTACTTTACACATTCGGCGGTAGCTTGTGCACGCTGAGTCATCCAAATGGCGACGAATCGATTCCAAATGCAATTGCACTGAATCGAATTGTGTGTGTGCGTAACAGGCTTCACGCGCGTATCTCAGTATGGGACTCAAAAGTGGATGCTCGAACTGAAAAACGAGTTCATTCCGTGGCTCTGTAAATTACTTTCAATGCAAATGAGCAATTATTTTTGTTGGTTCGCTGTTAATTTATGTCCAAGTTACAGGTTCAAAGATTCTTTAATTCATTTATAATTATCTCCCAACTTTGGCATAGTTTCATTCAACTCTCCCATTGCGCATCACCGTCGCTGCCGCCGCCGCCGCCGCCGCCGCCCTGCATTCGGCCTCAAAATTGTTGAATTTTATTATTAAATTTTATTTGAGTTTCGAGTCTCATTTCGGTTTCGGTTTCATATTTTCTCGTTTTCGTGTTCGTTGTCGTTTTATGCTTTTGCTTTCGCATTTTGGGGGGGCTGTGTCAACAGGTGCGTCTGGCACTTCATTAGAAATTTCAGTGGCGCTCCATGCTGCTTTTCCCAGCATTACCCCTGGCTTTCCCAGCTCTGAGAAAACTTTTAATTAAATTTCGAGCTTTACCAAAGCGAAATTTACTTATACATTTATATATATTTGATTTTTGGTCGCCAAGAAACAGTCGCATGGAGACCGTTTTGGGTGCCTCATAATTGGCTTTATGGTTTTCGCATTTCCCATTCAACTATTCCGAATTAGAAAAACATTTTCCCTCCAAAAACTTCTGTCAAAGGGAAAAGGGTGTGCGGATATTCAATTAGGAGATTATCTGTGGCAAGCGAAGGGGTTTGTCATGGCTGATAACTATTAGAATTGCGTTTAAAGTTTTGTCTCTCAAAAGTGGAATATTCTACTGTATTTCTAAAGTTCTTCAACAGAATATCAATCAATCAATCAGCATTCAACTTTTGTTTCCAGCTAATTGTTCAATTTGCATAACTTTAAACTCAATACATTCTCGTTTTCCTTTCTTACAGATCAACCTGAAATTATTTCCCGTTTACGATGGATGATCCCAAAATAATGAACATTATGAATGGCATGAAAACACTGGAAGATCATTGTCAGCTCATAAATGACGTAAAGGGTGAGTGACCAGACACGAGCCAGACCTCCCAACAACACCAGAAACGAGCCGGGTTATACCCCAGATCATTGGACAAGAGTAATGCCCCCACCGAAGCGCACACACACACAAATCCCTAACCGCAAAAAGGTGTTTTTTGTAACATTACATTACAGCAGGGGGTAGAAGAGGGGTGGGTGGCTTATGGCAGGGGAAGTGGCGGCTAAAAACAAAATTTTGTCGGTTGAAATTGACAAATTATGTGACAGACTTTTGTCTGAGCGCGGCAACCCACAAAATCCAAAGAGCCAACAGCAATTGTTGACAATTCACTCAAAGCAAGGATGCGCTCTGCCTATACCCTTAAAGAGAGGGTGCCATGGCTTAGAGGAGTTGGTTGGAACTGAAACTTCAGAGAGAATAATATCAATAATTGTATCGAAAGATGATATTTGAATTGAAACTCAATCTATTATTATTTCCTTGGTTGATTTTCTATACCCAGCAGCGCCTTGAGCATCAAGGGTATCCAGAGGGGCGACCCCACAAGTGGCTACAGTTGCTGTTACTGTTGGTGTTGGAGTTAGCGTTGAACAAATGCCCCAAAGCGCTCAAAAAGCTTTAAACGCCGCACTCGACTCCACTCCATGGCACACTCCAGGCTCCCGACTCCGAGTGGGGCCAGGCTCAATTTCGCAGCGTCCATAAACAATGATGGATGGTGGGGCATGGTGTGGCTTGAAGTGCTGTCTTTGGGGGCCTCTGATGGGCTGGGTTGGGTTGGGTTGGGTTGTGTTGGGGTAGTGCCCACTGTTGGTGGCACATTTTCAGTTTCAGTTTCAGTTTGGAGGCGAGGCGCAGGCGAAGTGCGCTTGAGTTGCATTTAAGCCAATTAGCATAGGCAAACAAAACATTTGAGTGAGCGGGCCAAGTGCTTGTGGTTGAGTGCGGCCTCAGGCCAGGGCTTCGGCTGAGGCTTCGGCATCGTCATCGTCATCGTCAGCGTCGTTGGCTTCCAGGGGATGGCGGTAGCATGCCACCAATGCTGGTGTCAGCTCTAGGTGTCAAGTTGTATTTGTGTGAATGTGTTTGTTATGCTTGACGCTGGAGATGGAAGCTGAAGGCAGCTGCCTGCCAGCCAGCCAGCCTGCCTGCCTGCTGCTGGGGGGCAGGGTGTAGAGTTGAAGGGCTGCCGGCATCTCCTCAACAATGTTGCATTTATTATGCAATTATCAAGTGGCAATTGTGTGTCTGACTGTGTGTGCATGCCCCAGTGTGTCCCTGTGCACTGTCTGACAGTGATTTACGCCGACGATTGGCAATTAGGCATCTCGAGACACAGGCAAAGGCAGCGCCTAAGCAGGCCATCTTCAAGATGACATGCCATTCAATTGAGGAATGTGCTGCACGGTGCCATTATGCACTAAAAGGAGAACAATTGAAGATGTACTGAATGTAGTTTATGGCTGATATTTCCATTAAGAATAATACATAGAATCAGACAAAGACAGATGGAAATTATCTATATAAACACACTCTGAAAGGATTAGCTTCAATTTGTATTTATCTCTTGATTTAGGCATAAAGTTTAATCCAAAGACTAACATTCCATGAATAGATTTTTAGAAAATATTCTCTTAATATTTACCCACATTCCAATCAAGAGAAATATTCAACACTCACACATCCCGGCTGATCTACATCTCGTTACTATTCCCCATTAATTATTTCACAATTTGAAACTTCATCTCGGACTGAAAATATTTACTCTTTATGCCATGATTGCTTTTCGCCCAGTGTGCATATTAATACACGTGTAGCATACATGTGTAGCAGCATACATATGTAGCAGCGTATGTGTGTGTGTGTGTGTGTGCCGTTGTGTGCGTTTTAGACAATAGATGAATGGCTCGACGAGCTGCTAACTTGCAAATATTTATGAGTGGCCCAGCAAGTGGCAGGCAGCGGCACACCAGCACCGGCGGCAACCGATGCCAACGCCGCAAACAACAATGTGGGCAGGGGTAGGGGTTAGGCAAGATGGATGGGTGATATATGTGTGGCATGTGGAATGGGGATCCGGGGGATGCGTGTGCACCCATTGGCAGGCAAACGTTGAAACGTCAAGTGTTGTTGCCATTTTGGCACTTTGGACAAAAATGCAGGCTAGAAGCTAACCTCCGGCCCCATGCAGCCACCAGCCACCAGCCTCTCCTTCAACTATTCCGAGTGGCAGTCTCTATCTGTGTGTGTGTGTGTGTGTGTGTGTGGCGTGAATTATGCGCAATTGAAGTGGCATTTGATGCGCATTTAAATTCGTGACGGCGCTTCAAGTTGGTGGCAAACAAACCGAACGGAAACTGAACCAAATCGAACCCACAGCAAACAGCCTTCAGCCTTCAGCCAACAACCCACAGCCAGCCCTCAGAATGGGGGGCAGTGGCAGGCGTTTCCTGAGTGGGAGGGCCATCAATGATGCGCATCAAATTGGCTAATTGTTTAATGACTGTTTGCATTGATCTCTTCCCTCCCCCCCACAAACGCAAACCCCACTTGTGTGGCACAGATGAGTCGCCCATGCAAATGTTCTACAAGGACAAGGGCGTATTCCTCACTGGCGGCACAGGATTCTTTGGCAAAAGTAAGTTCCACTCCACTCCCGTGTACGTGCCTGGAATTTCATATACTTATCGCCCAGTGCTTTCCTTTCCCTCTCTGTCCACCCCTCAGTTATCATCGAGAAATTGTTGCGCGTCACGGAGGTGGGACAAATATATTTGCTGATACGCACCAAAAAGGGCAAGGATGCATTCGCACGCATTGAGGATCTGTTTAATGATCCGGTAAGTGTTTGATTGCTAAATTCTTTTACATCTCTCACTCTTCTCATTCGTTGCATTGCTTTTGATTGCAGGTCTTTGACAAGATGAAACAGCTGAATCCCAAGTACCGCTGCCAGATCACAATCATCAGTGGGGATTGCTCTCTGCCGGGAATGGGCATCTCGCCGGATGAGCGTGAAACCATTCTGGAGAATGTGAATATTGTGCTCCACAGTGCGGCCACTGTGCGGTTCGATGAGAAGCTGAAAATGGCTATTGCCATCAATGTGCATGGCACCAAGGAGATCATTAAGTTGGCCAAAGAGATTGTCAATCTGAAGGTGGGTTGCGTTCCCTCTGCTGTATGCTCTCCTCTGATTCTTCATCCTTACTTTGTGTATTGTTTCAGGCCTTTGTCCATGTCTCCACTGCATTTGCTCACTGCAACATGCGCCATATCCAGGAGAAGTTCTACAGCGGCACCATGACCGGCGAGAATGCCTTCAAGCTGAGCGAATGCCTGGACGAGCACACTCTGAATACCCTCACGCCGACCATCATCAAGGGCTACCCGAACACGTACACCTTCACCAAAGTTCTGGCCGAGAATGTGGTGCAGCAAACGGCACAAAATCTGCCAGTAACGATCTTTAGACCGGGCATAGGTTGGTAGTCCTCATTCCTTGATGATTCTTTCAAGGACTTATCTACGTTTTTCTACAGTGATCACCACATACCGTGAACCAGTTACTGGCTGGATCGACAACATGTATGGACCCTGTGGCGTCATTGTGGGCATTGGTTCCGGCGTGCTGCGCGTCTTCACTGGTGATATGGACAACAAGGCGCACATTGTGCCCGTGGACATGTGTGTGAATGCCCTGTTGGCCAGTGCCTGGGATATAGCGCGGAACAAGTGAGTGAAAGCTTCAACTTGGTTGCCATATAAACATCTTTAATGCTTTCCCTCTACAGATACGAGACACCGCCCATTTATAACTATGTTCCGGATGAGGAAAATATGGTCAGTTGGAGGCGTTACATGGAGGATGGCTTCGAGTATGGCTGTGATATACCGATGCGCAAGTCCATATGGTATCCGCGCTTCACCATCGTGCCACACATGTGGCAATATCACATACTATGCTTCTTCTACCACACATTGCCCGCCCTGATTATGGACTTCATTATGGTGATCATTGGCAAGAAACCAAGGTGCGTTCGCAACATAATTCTCTGGGGTTTCTTCCACTAACTCTCTATTTCTCAATAGAATGATGAAGATCTATCGCAAGATCCACAAGCTGAGCAATGTCCTCAAGTACTTCAGTTCAAATGAGTTTCGCTTTGACAACGATAATGTGAGGAGTCTCTCGTCGAAGCTGGATGACAGGGACAAGCGGCTGTTTGCCTTCGATATGCGCGACTTGGACTGGACCAATCTCTTCCGCGTCAGTCTCTATGGGCTGCGCCTGTATGTGGTGAAGGATGATCCCAGCAATATTCCAGAGTCCATCAAGCGCTACGAGAGGTGGGCCTTTGCATGCTTAATTCTATTTTTTGTCCTCTTATAATATTTATTTTGCCTTACAGATTGAAGGTGCTGCATTATACCACGCTGGCCGTTTTCTATTCGTTGGTTGCCTGGGCACTGTATGGCCTCATCAAGCTCATCTTCTTATAGGATCGCTACACTTTTTCTTATGTATTAATACTATAGGGCATGTCTTCCAGTTATCTTACTCTCCCTACTCCCCCAAAGTGTCTCATTCTTTGTTCTCTAACACTTTCGTTTCCTGCAATAGTTGTAGTCGTAGTTGTATGTTTGTACCATATCCTTATGCCCTTAGTCATATCTTTGAAACGCTTTATCCGACCCTTGTATAGCTTAGTTTGTACTTAATGTATCTTAATGTAAATTCGCTGGAGTTGATTGTGTACTCGAACGGCAGAACGATCACAATAAAAACTTCATCACATTTTGTTTGGGATATGTCAAAATGAATTTCTTTAATATGGGAAAAGGAAAATATTTTAAATTCTTTACAAAAATGGAACATATCCATGACCAAGTGAATCAAATTCCAGTATATTGTTCTACATAATATGTTATACTTGACATTTATTGGGTCACATCTACGTTTCATCCCGCAGCCATCTCTGGGTCCGGCTCTTTGCATGGATTGTTTGGGTTTATGCCAAAAAATTATTTTTTTGGGGATCAAGTTCTCTCCCCAATTGACTGAAGGCCTAATCCGGTTTGGCTAAAACCAAAAGCAACATCGAGGAATACTCGTGGCACAAATTGAAAACAATAAGATTCGTTTGATTTACACACCAGCTTAATATCGAAATATTTTATTGCATATTTGCAGGCGTTTGGCAAGTGCGAAAAAAAAGAGTCGTAAAAATAATGCCCAGAGGTAGCTTATCAAATTGCGAGCAGCAGTAACAGTCCGATGCAAAATCCTGTAAGGCGCTTTATCGCTTTATGCCCCCCATCCGTGCACACATATGTGTGCGTGTGTGTGAGAGTATGCATAAATAAATCCGCACATGTATCGTATCGTATCGTATCGCTTTGGATTGCAGCCCTGGCATTCACAGTCGTATGATTTCAAAATTAAAATCACAGCATAACCCAATCACCCCCAGTCCCTCCATCAAGCCAAAAGCCTGCTCGTCATAGTCTTGCTCCCTGGCACTCATCCTGATTTTAATGCCCCTCTCATCCTCATCATCATGCTCCTGCTCATGGCCCTCCACATACTTTTGCTCCTGCTCCTGCTGCTCACAGCTCATTCCCAATACAGCCATAAAACTCTCGCATACTCATCAAACATACACGGAATAAGTAAGAGGAGAAGGGCCATACACACACAGCCAGAGGAGTTTCGGAGAGAAGGAGCTGTAGCTGGAGACCGTGGAGGTTGGCGGTTGCCTTCTGCACATTCTGTGAAAAATGTTTGTCAAACCGCAGCGAGCGTGGCGTGTCGTGGCGCGCAATGATTGAAGCTACTGTGGATGCCACAGTTACTGCTGCTCTACTCAGCGCTGCTCTGCTTCAGACTTTTCTCCACAGTCAAAGCTTTGCAAAGGTCCAATGTAGATTTTTCACAAAAATTGCCACAGCGTAACGGAAGCGCTTCCAATTAAAGTGAGCGTGTGAGGGACTGTACATCTTTCTCAGAGTTTCTTCGAGTGTGTGTGTGTCGGTTTGTGTGTGACAATAGCTCCCCAATATGTTATGCTGCATAAATAGATACATACTTATGGCCCTACACTCGCACATGTACATACATATGAATTGGATATTTTTGTTGTTGGGCCAAAATTGCAAGCGCCGCAACACGAACGACCGAGCAGAACATTGAAAGACCAAACAATCTCAATCTCTCAAATTAGATTTTCAGAAAAATGCACCTCTGGGAAATGCACAATGAAAAAGCAACTGGCCTGCACAGACACGCACGCACACAACGCCGCGGACGGGCAGACGGGCGGGCGTGAGGATTCTCGGCTTCGGCATCGGCATCGGCATCGGCATCGGCTTCTGTGGCTGTGTTTCTTTTTTTCCGTTTATTTTTGTCAGTGTGTGGCAGAGCACTTCGGGTAAGGATACGAAGCATCAGTGAGCTTTCACTGAGCGAAAGTAACTCTCTTAGGCACTCTCTTACGCCACTAACTCTCTCGCTTTTCTGTGTACGCTCTCTTACACGTTAAAACGGAACGGGGACATGAAGTGCATGATGCTTATTCAAGGGTTGTTCATTCGTGAAATTAATATTGCGGCAACCGTCGCAGCACGCGCGCCTCTAAAGTTTATGTTCCCGCCGCTGCAACTCCTCTTCTCCCCCTTCAGCTGTTGGTGTTGCTGTGGCAGGGCATATTGTAACGGGCTTTATGTGCTCCCCAGGCCAGGGTTGCCTCTGCTCTGTGTTGCACTTTGTTACAGTTTCCGATGCCTTGCATTATTATTGTGTTCCATTGCCATTGCGTTCCGCCCGTTAAGTTCCCTTCGGTCCCACTTCGTGTTTGCGCTCACTCTCTCTCTCTCTTCCTCACTCGCTCTCGCCTAATGCTGGGTCGTGTCTGTGCATGTCTGTGCGTGTCCCGGCATGCGTTTATTTGTCTGCCTCATTGCCAGCGTTGGACCATTATCAGATTTTGTAATAGCTTTACGTTTATTACTTTCTTTCGTTTGCTGCTTTTTGTTTTCTTCTTCGTTTCTTGGCGTTCTTTTTTTTTGTTTTTTTTTCAATTTCATTCTGTTAGTTTGGAATTTTTGTTGGTATTTTGGCATACTGCCTGGTCAGGGCTGCCACTCAACTGGCGCCAATCTCTTCTGGGGCTTCTTCTACTCCACTCTAGTTCCACCCCCCCCCTCGACTCTTACCACTTTTGGTGGCAGTGGCAATGGCTGCGGCAGTACTCCCCTGCCACGTAGCTCTTTGACTGGTGCTTGTTGATTTGCCGTTCTTGCTTGTTGTCGCGTCAATTAAAAATAAAGTCGGGTTCGTGGGCTCAGGTTTTTGTTTCCACATCGTACGCTACATATGTACAAAAGATGCACGGCAAGAAAAAATCTTAAAATTTGAATTAGACTTCACTGTGGATAAGTGGTACGATCTGCAGTCAACGAGCTGTCATTTTGTTTATTTTTGTTTTTTTAAATTAATTTATTTTCTAATATGTTCAACTCTTTTTAGCAGTGTAGCAAACATACGCTTATTTAGCCACATCTTCCCTCTCATTCACACGTCGTTTCCCTGTGTGTGAGAGTGCTTGTTTGTGTGTGTTTGTTTGCTCTCTGTTTGCAGTTCGCTTGGGCTATAATTATTTAACGTTGCCTTGTCACTGTCTACAGCGTGTGTGTGTGTGTGTGTGTGTGTCTGTACTCCCAACTTCAACCTTAACTCCATCTCCAGTTCTAGTTTCTCCTTTTGATGCTCCCACTCCCACACCCAACTCAACCTCCTGCTCCTCCTGCTGCAGCAGCATACATCCTCCTCTGGCCCCTTGCTTCTCTTACTTCCCCTTGTACGTTGCTGCTCTTGTTTCTGGTTTCTTCTTTAGTTTAGCGCTCGCGCGCGCTCTTGTAATAATATTTTAAATTAATTACAACAAACATGCATTCCGTGAGGGAGTGGGTATGAGCGAGTGAGTGTGCGATAGTGTCTTTGTGTGTCTGCCCTCAAACTCTACTCTCTGGCACCCTCTTTCCATGGGTATGCATGTGTGTGTGTGCGTGTGGGGCGTGCTTTTGTGCTGCTGTTTTGTATGAAAAGTGAATTAAGGCGAATTTAGCGCGCGTCGGCCACGTCCAAAGTGCATTTGTATTAGAGATGGGAGCGTGCTCGTGCCAGGCGCACGTGATTGAGGCGCATTGAATATGAATAATTCAGAGTGTTTCTAAACGACCAGCAGTCAATCAAATTTGGCATCTATATGCATTCAATTCAGGAAGCTACGAGAGTTGAGAGCAAATTCTGTTTAGATTTGCGCTGATTAAAGGTTTATCCTGTCTGCTTTTTTCATGGTCAACCTCAACCGTCGAGCATAGAATAAATATTTAATTAAAAAACTTTGTTTATTGTGGGTTTCAGTTTGCGATCCCAAGTTGCTGCTGTGGCTGCTCGCATCGTTCAGTTGACCATCTCTATGGCAAAGTGCATTTGTATGTCCTGGGCCATAGTCGTCGCTAACTTTATCCTTGGTTGGTTACACAAACACCCATAAACAGACACTCACAAACACTCACACACACACACACACACACATGAATACTTGGCTAGAGAGAGAGCGACACTTTCGCTGGGACAGTGTGTTAGTGTGTTTATGGTGTGCCACGCTCCCCCGCCATTCAATTCAATGGAACGACCACGCCTACCAACGACCAGAACAGACCAAACAGATGGTTGGAGAGGGGAGAGTGGGGAGAGAGATTCCCCCTCCTCTTCAAGTATGTAGTTGGTGGTGGCTCAGGCATTCGGCATTGTCTATTAGTATCTCGTTTGCGCTTCTCTGTGCATTCGGTTCTAGTGCTTCTTTTGAAGTTTTCGCTTGCATTCGCATTTTAATTTGAAGTGCATCATTTCTGCTCTACCGTCTGTCCTGACTGTCCCCTCTCCCTTTTGCCTTCTGCGTCTGCGGCCACAAGCAGACAAACAGAGCCAGTCCGCTCCGCACCGCTCCGCACCGCTTCGACCCATTCCCCAAAAGGCAGAATCCAAAGCCCAGAACGGAGAACCCAGTACCCAGTACCCCGCATCCAGAAACCAACCGACAAACAAACAAACCAACAGACAAACAAAAAAGTGCTTATGCTCATTCATTCATTTCATTTCCCATTACGAGCAAGAAGAGGAGCTCGGGCTCGGATTCTGTTCCAACCTGTGTGGCAAGCTGCACGCTGAAACGTTGAACGGTGAGCGCCCGCTGCCACACAGTCAAACAAAAATGGTTAAAAAGCAAGCCGAGACGGGGCTGGGCTGGGCTCTTGGCCAGGTCGGAACTGCAACAACAACAACAACTACGAACCAACCGCCGCCACTTGCCACTACTTTATGCCACTTCAACGCAACTCAATTGCTTTCTTTGCCTTTATGAAACCAGCCCTATGCGTGTCTCTCTCTCTCCCTCATCTCAATATCTTTAGCTGCCTGTGTGTGTGTGTGTGTGGGTGTGTTTGTATCTGTGCATGTGTATGTGTGGCATGCGGTTTTATTAAAATACTCGTCCTGCGTCTTGTCTCCCCCAACTCCAATGCCCCTTATACGAGCTCATGCCTCCCGTTCTTGTTTTTGCAAATAATGAAAAGTGCCGCACATAAAATTTGCACAAATTATTCCACTTTTCGTTCCATTCTGCCCCCAGACGGGGGGTTGGTGTATCCACTTTTTCTTGTATTTATTTTGGCCCCGCCAACGCTTTATTTCTTTATTTACGCCAAAATGCATGGAAAAAATAAATAAAATTATAAATGAAAGCAGGACGCATCT